CGAGTTGTCCCGACTAAAAGTGGTTAACACTAATCTCAAGTTAAATCCATTTGCGGTGAATCGAAGAGCTTTGGTGTACAAGGCAACCGAACGTATAAAGACGTTGGTAATACCCCGCATCCGGAATTAATGGTTAATCGAAACCTTTAGCTGTACAATAAACTATGGATTTTTAATATCTTATTATCAGATGCGGATTGACTGGAATTTCACATTTATCGGCCTTAACTTTAAATATTAATAACGAGCTTCGGTGCTTTCAACGCGTTCCCGCATCATATAAATGTATAGTTTATTCCTTTGAAATTGTAAGATTTCTATCTATCTAGACTCTGATGTTCGTAATTATGAATCATTATCATATAAATATTATAATTTTATTATCAAAATCCGTAACGTTTATTTTTCGGAACTTCATTTTAAATATTCATTGTGCAATAAAATAGAAAAAAATTGTTTCGAATTTCCAATTTCAAACGATAAATTAACTGCAAATGCTACGACTATTATTGCTACGTGACTACCAAATAAATAAATTTTTGGCCATTTGGTAAATGTACTACATGTACCCAGAAAATTATCAAAAATCACACAAGTTTGTACCATTAAATGTTTCATTAGATTAAAAAATCAGTATTTTACGAAGGGACATAGATAATAGTCAATACCATGCTTTTGATTGAAAATTCAATAAATATGTCAAGTAAGTCATTCATATAGTTTTTAACTTAACATAAAATACGTTATAGATTAGTTAAAAAATTTGAATTTTTTTCTGGTATTTTCGCATTGGTACCTAAAACAATATCTACAATTTGTCAAATTTTCAACGATTTATGTACCCATCAAATAAATTATGTTTGAATAATAACACGTGTCATATGTTAATATGTTTATATGTATTAATACATAGTCAAAATATAGCGTGACTAAAATTTAAAATTACGCATGCATATGAAATTTAAAATTATAAAATAAAAACATAAAATAAAATACAAATGGTGAAACTAAAATTAATAATTATTATTTTAAATGATTAAAATGTAAATTTTATAATACATCATGAAATACACTGCTCGAGATTCGTGAAATATTTTACCATCGAAACATATACTTACTTATTAATGATTTTGGGAATTTAATAATTATTGATTTTATGGTTGTCACAAATTTAAATAAAAGAAACCTTAAATTAAAAGTACTAAATATTAATTAAAAATTCAAAACATAAATATTTTATTTGTGAATATTTAAAAATATTGTCATAAATGAAAATACATTGTTAATATGACGGATGGTATAGAAAATATGAATTCAAAAGTCCATAAAATATAGAAATGATAAATGAATATTTGTCCCGTACTCATAATTATTTCGATCTCTAGGTAGTTAACTGAACAGTCTGAACTATTGACTCATGGTGTGGGTACTGATACATAAGTGCGTAATCGGAACCTTGGATAAGTTTCCAGAATTACATGATCGTAATATTTGTGTTCTACATTTGTCAGCAGCGGCGAATCAACTAAAAACTGAACGTAGCTTTAATGTACTAGATAGATACCAGAATATTTGAAAAATTTGAACCAACAAAATCTCCACTTGAAACTTCTGGAGTTTACCAACAGTTGTCGATAACAGAAATAGAAGTGTACATAAATATAGAAAAATGTATTATGGTAAAATCGGTTCACTCGCTCAGGGTTTAAAATTTATTTGTATTTAAATAAAATATTATGTTAAATTATAATGGTTTTTGTGTCAGTAACGTACTCTCTGTAATAATAGATATAATACCTTATAGCTATACTATAAACTAAAATGTAATACATTTCTTATAGGAAAACAAATATAAATTTGAAAATCAGATATAAAGAAAACATTTCGGAAATAAAATTAAAAAATACTACCTACAAAACATGTTTTGTAAAATAACCATAATATAAATTTTAAGATCAATACAGACTTAGAAATATTAAATACTCAAAATAACATTTATTTTAATTCAGTGTTAGAAAAATTACCATTAAAATTTTCTATTAAAATTTATAAAAAGAACTCCTAATTTATGTAACTTATTTCTGATTTTTAAGTCTATAAACTACTAGTATAGTTAGTTAACACCACTGAACTATTTACATTTGCAAAACTAAAAAACTAATTTTTACACTTTTTAAAGTCATAAACTTCAAATATTTTAAGCTAACAATTATGTTGTGTCAAAAATTAGAATTGAATCATAAAACAATTAGATAAAGGTTGTATATACTAAAAAAAAAAAGTAAAATATATTTGCTTGAAAAATAATACACACGTATTTTAAATAAGATTCTTATTTTCGAAAATCATTATTCTTATCTATAGTTCAGCTAGTTATTTTTAAAACAACTGGCCTTTGTTGAATAATTTAATCTTGGCGTAATTACATATTCAAATTAATTTAATTTCATAGAACTAAATACATAATTGTAGGTATAATTTTAAGTTATAATTTTATCTTTGCTACTATTATTACATACATACGTACTCATACATTATTATACGTCTTACATTTACACCATTTAAATATAGGTACTTACACAATTATATAATATTTACTTAAAAATAAACAATTTTAGTGTTCAATTATGTAATTTTATGTTGGAATTATTGTGAATACAATTTTTTCTTAATCAAAATAATAGTAGGTACGTTTCTCAAGGTAGGTATTTTATGACCTGACCAATTATTTGCAACTAACATTATTTTTCAAAATAGAATATCAAAATTGAATGTAAAAAATGTCTTTCAATATTAGACTCCAGTGTCAATTTACAGTAACTTATAGAAAATAAACTTATTCCAATTTTATTAACTAGGACAGATCTTTAGCCCTATAGTTAAATTCCAAAAAAAATATTCTAATACAACTTATAATATCCAATTCCTTTTCTTAAAACCAAACTTTATATTTTATAGTATTACAATTACAAACTATAATTATTCGTACATATTATTGACAAATTTAATTATGTATTCAATTTTTTCGTTCGTTTATAATCGAAAAACTTAGGTTCATTGTTTGATCATATGGAGTATCATATCATATGAATGATGAGACGACTTTTAGTGTATATGCCTTACGCATACGATTTTTTTTACAGAAAAAAAAACAGTATTATTGTACTAGAATTTCAATATATTCTTCGCTTCACTCAGAATTTTAAATATCATTAAATAATAAGTATCACAGTAATAATATGTTGTTGTTTTAAAAATTACTATTTTTTTGTTTTCAACACATGCATAGGTATTACATACCTAGTTAATTATTTTATCTATGAAATATTTCAATGTATAATAAAGATAAGTGAAACATAAGCCTGTCAAAATCCTGAGAGATTATACAGTTTAAATAAATACTTGGTGGGGAGTTTGAGCGAATTTTTTCTATTTGCGCCACCGTTGCGATTAGACGTATTTGTGATAAATGTTTCAGTGTATGGACGATGTACCTACTAGAATTTATATATTTTGTTAATGCATATTATCTCAAGTCTATTATTCTGACATCAATTATATATTATATCATACACATATACTTACACATACATACCTACACTTGTATACCAATAGGCCATTTAAAGAGATATCGAGTTGTTCAACAATATTATAACAAAACCGTATAAGAACATGTTTCATGACACGTTAGACACGTCTATATTAAGATAATAAAACAAGTAAATCTATGATTGATTACAATATTAGATTTTAAAGCAAAAGTAGGTACACCACCTTATCAATTTGATGTTTGATCTTTATATGAACGATTTTAATCATTTATTTACCTAAATGTACGTACCTAAATATATAATATGTAACAAATAACAATATTATCATGGTAGGTACGATGTAAGTCTCGGGTCAACGTTATTTCCAAATTCAGTTCAACAGGTGAACAACAGTATGCATCGACAATGTAATGTTGCCAAATTTTGTTTTGGAGCCAGACACGAGCAATATATTAATATTCTGTGCATCCTCCCAAGATGTACACGCACACTACATCTGTAGACATCTATCTCATATCGTTTCCAGTGCTTTTGTAATATTCCCCACAGGCTTTTTGACTCGTCCAAGGTCACTTGATGCAGTACGCCCGCAAGTGACGGATACTTTTACCAGACATTGATGATACTTTATAGTGGGTTATAACTTGTATTAACATTACACGGTACGTTGAGCTACGGCCGTACGGCAGACACACAACGAAAATGTAGCGCGTTGGGGGAACGCAGAGCAATAAGGTACTGTGGAAAAAATGAATAAAAGTAAATATCCATTACGTGTGCCTATCACGATTCACGTACATTCACGTACGCATGAGAAGGAATTTCACCATAAACGATCCGCGCGTAGATGGAATTAGACGCATTCGCTCCAAGGTAGGTGAGTCGATATCCTTTTTCAGTGGACACCGCGGCTACGTGCATCTACCGAACGCGTAAAGATTATCAAACGGTTACGGTGAATAACCTACCTGGCTACCTGTCTAGCATATTGTTCAGAAAACGTTCACGTGAACAGAAAAAAGACCAAACGTCTGCACTGAGTCTCTCAGACCTCAGTTATCAATGCGTTTATCACGTTTGCTTATCATGGAAAGCTGCGTGCTGTTTGAAAATACAATAACATCACACGGAGTGTAAGATAATATGTTTCGGTTTATGAACCCGTGTATGAAGCCATAGAAAACGATTGACTATCGAATATCTAGTTCCTATAATTAATTAATATTAATATTCATTCCTTAGCCGTCCGACCGATCAGCGGTGTATAACGTCGTCACCCACTCGCGCGCCACCATGCACATTCCGTCGTAGCCCAAACACAATGGCGCTTTACGACAGCAAACATTGGCTGCTCTCTCACATCAGAAACTCGTTCATATCGTCTGATGACACAGGTAATTACAATGTCAAAGCTTTTTTGCTATGAGATTACGATTATCGCCGGTGGGTTATCGGCAAGTAGGACGCTCGCGCTATGGCTAGTGTAGAAATATTTCTCGACCGTATGAGAAAAATATCAAATTGAACAACAGTACATATACACGCGCGCACACGCACAGGCACAAGCACACGCCTATAATACACGTTCATGTTTACTCGGATTAAAAACCATTCGAACAGGTAACACTGTGTACTATCAAGGTGTCTCAAGGGTGGGGCATGGTTATCTGGAGAAAATTTTTTCAACGAAAGTTTTTTCTCGCGTTTTAAAAAAAAAATAGGTAATTACATAGAAATTCCTCGCCGTGTTCCGTATTCATGTTTTACGCCATATTTATTATTTTTTTTTTTACTCTGTGTGTGTTTGTGTTTATGTATATGTATAATATTTGAAAGAACATTTTTGCTTTTATTTTATATATTATTGTTATTTGTATTTAACCGTTCTATACAATTAAAGCGTCGTGTCTTACTACAGAAAAATTGTATGTGTTGTTTAAAATCTGGACCGCCTAGGTACAGAATCCAATCAGTGCAAGTAAACAACAATCTGTGATCTATGTATAGTTTGATATAATATTTTAAGTTTTTTTTTAATCTTATCTTGTGAATGGGTTTCCAATGTTCATTAAATCTCGAATGCTGTAAAGCATTAACTATAGCATATATTTTTTGATTTATTTTGTATTTTTTTTGTATAGTGTTAAATTTTCTTGTGTTTTTTATATAATTGTGCTTACATACGTTAGTCGAAACAAAATCATGGTTATTGTCAACGATCTTGATTACCAGCCATTTCAATCACTAGTCAATGTCGACAGCATACCATTAATTATTCCAGAATGTACAATCACCAAGAAGCAGCCTACTAAGACATTTAGTGAAATCCAACACCTTATTACTCATAATCGATACAAAGATGTAAAAAAACTACTACGCTGTCATCATTGGCCAACCGATAACATGATACGAAGTCAGTTGTGGTCAGCTCTAAGTAAACAACACAATAATAATAATATGACTGAAGGTTTTTATTGGGATCTAGTAGTGCAATTATTTGGTACTAAAGATCTACCAGATAAAACAAGTATATTGCCACCATTTGTTGATTCTAAGCATAGACATATTTATCATTTAAATGCAGTCGGTAAAGAAGTAGCTGATCGAGTTGTTTGTGTACTAGGATTTGCATGTCCTGATATTACTTATAGTCCAGCAATATATTCATTGGTATCATTATTTTTACATTTTATGCCTGAAGAAGAATGTTATAATAGTCTAACTAGTCTTGTATCTTCAAAGCGATTAGTTTTTATGACACAAACAAAGTCATTATATGAAGTCACATGGAGAACAGTTATGCGAGCTACCAAAAAATATGCTAGTAGTGCTTCAGTTCATTTGACAAAATTTTGTTCAGTAACCAAAATTGAGCATGTATATACTGATTGGATATGGTGGATTTTTCAAGGTTTACCATTCCATCATGTTGTTAGAGTTATGGACTGTTACTTACATGAAGGAATTAAAGTATTATACAGAATTGCTATGGCTATATTGAAACTATTTTATAAGCATTCTAGTAAAAGAAATTCTTTTTGGGCCCTAGAAGCTTATAATAACGGATTAGAAGCAACTTTAATGAAATTTTGTCGACAAATGCCTGCTAGTCCAAATAAATTATTAAAAAAAGCCTTTGGTATTCGAGCATTAAGTGCTGCATATTTACATAGAGTTTTTGTTAAAACTGAAATGTCTTTAAAGTCAAAAGCAGTTTTATCTAATTCACATCAACTAATAAGATCTCGCTCCAGTGAAAACTTACCCACAAGTCAATCCCAAGTAAATATCCAACTAATGTCACATACACTTAGTACACGAGAACTTTTTACTTTGTGGTCTTGGTTACCAATGCGGATTACCATGTATCAACCAATTTTATTATATACTACAGAAGAACATGGATGTAGCTTAACCACATTTTATTTTAGAGTTGAACAGCATGAACCAACATTATTAATTATTAAAACTTGTTCTGATGATGTGTTTGGAGCTTATTGTTCTACTAAGTGGCTTGAAAGAAATAGAAAAGATGAAAGAGGAAACAGGACTGCATATTTTGGAACCGGTGAAACATTTTTATTTAGTTTATTCCCTGAAAGATCAAAATATCCATGGGTGGGTATGGAAAATGATAATGTTTGTCATTCAAATGAACTTTTTATGGCTGCTGATTCTAAAATGATAACTATCGGTGGTGGTGATGGTCAAGCAATTTGGATGGATGAAAACATAAGATTTGGAAAATCTGATAGCTGCTCGACATTTAATAATCCACCGCTTTGTCCAGGAAAAGATTTTGAAATTAAAGTACTGGAAGTTTATGGTTTTGGAGGTGCGATGTTGTAAAGAGGTGGTGATTGTGATTGTACACTAAACATTGTTCTATTCAAGGTTTATTTTTATATTTTTTAGTATTTATATTTACAATGTATACTTTAGATATTTTTTATAATAAAGTTGTTCATAGGGATTAGCGAAGTGGTAATGGGTGGAGACAATTTACTTCAAACAATATCCACATCAAAATATGACACATATCCAGGAATTGAAGATAACGAAGAAGAAGATGAAATTACTGAGTCACTTGATATTCACACTGGTATAATACTTAATAAAAATATTGATATTCTTTTTACTTAATTAACTATTTTATATTTCCAAAGAATTTGTAGTTCGTCGTCAAAGGTCCCATACATCAGTTCAATTAGAACGTTTGCAAAGAAATATGATGAAATCTGCCAATGTACGCCATGTAAAATGGGAACTTACACCTGTCTCCCTTACAGGTATTTTAAATATTAATTTAAATTAATAAATAGATGGTATATATTTGAGTTGTAAATTAGATTTTCTTTGTTGCTTGGGAAATATAGTTTTTTCAAATTTATATGTTTTTCACAAAATTAAACATTTCAGCATAATTTTTAAATCACTTTTTTTTCAATTCAAATTTTGTTTTCTAAAAATTTTAGCATAGACATTTTTTTATTTTTTTTTGTTGTTATACATTATATTAAATACAAATCCAAAATTAGTTACAATTTATAATATAGCTTAAGTATGTATTGCAAGAAGTAATTATTGAAAATAAGTAAAAATAATGTAAACATTTTACACTAAAAATTTAAATAATTTTTTTGATTCAATTCTTAGTTATGACATTTTATATTAGAAGACATACAATTTTAACTCAAGGATATCAAATTATTTTATAGTTTTGTGTGGAACACTTGGGTTATGATTATAAGATAACATATTCAACTTCTATATTATCCTGACCTTCATTCAGAATAGGTTTTTGAAAACAATGGTTCATCATTTTTCAGTGATCCACCCAACACCTGGTATCAAATGTGACTAGTTTTTTTATTTAATAAATTACATAACAAATTCCAATGTTCTCTTTATAGTAAATGTTGGAAATTTAATATGAGCATGAAAAACCATTCTAAATACAGTCAACTCACGGTATAACAAAGTTCGATATAACGAAAACCTCGATATAACATATAAAACTGTCGGACCCTTGAAAATCTCGTGATATAACAAAAAATTAATTGTATTTTGGTCCCCTTGATATAATGAAGATTTTTTGGCCAAAGTTCAAGCATGTAACGAATTTTTTCAATTTTGGAGATTGATACTTCACATCTTACGAGCTTGTTTCGGCTATTATTATGTGATAAGATGTTCATGTATCGTTTATATGATACACGTCTGTTAAATGTTAATTGTATTAAATATAAACATAAATTTGTTGCTATCGAACAAAGGTCTGGCTACCTGTGGTGTTCTCAATAATGATAAGATTTTGAATAAAACTGGTGACGAAGAGCCCCCGTAAGCTCGAATGTAGCAAAATTAGGTCGCCACGCCGTCTTAAATTATTTACAAAGACATGATATTGACGATAGTGTATTTTGTAATATTCTAAAATTGGACAACATTATTAATCGTGTAAGCGCAAATGGATACACACACAAAAAAAAAAACAGAAGTATGTATGTAATAAACAAAAATGTATGAATGTATGAATGTATCTAATAAAATATTTAATAATAATCTAATATTTTACGTTGGCATGTTATTATAAAACTCTAATAAAATCTAAATTTTCTTTTAAATAACGTTTAAACAAATTTTGTTGATTTATGCTTTTGATATAATGAATTTCAATATAACGAACTTTCGATATAACATACTTTTTGCTCGGTCCCTTGAAATTTGTTATATCGCAAGTTGACTGTATTATGTTTGGTGTTTTAATAAGCATACTAATATTTGTATTCATATTTTATATGTTTATCAATTATATAAACTATTTAATTCATTACTTATTTATGACAATGTAGTTAATGAAAATTTTAAATCTTAAGGTATTTTATAAATATATGTATGTTAATTTATATAATACCTTTGTTATATGAAACACTTAAGTTAAAATTATTTCAAACTGAAATATTAATTATGCTAATTACTCCAAACTTTGTTTAGAATCATTTTTTTAATAAGATGATAATTCTTCATTTTTTTCAAATTCATGTTATTAATATGAACTTATATGACTTTAAAGTATCCATTTTAAATTCCCGTCATATATTAAATTAGTTCTTTATTTTGGTAGGCCTATCATAAATGTTTTGTTATTAATACATTTATTTTGTTCCACAAAGTAAGTTAAATTTACATATATAGTTTTAAATTACTATTTAGTATTTATATATACATGAAACTAATTATAAAAATTAATTCAATTTTTTAAACATTTAGATGAAGAAAAAGCTGAATTATTCCCCAAGAAAGATATAAGTAATCAAAAAAAAAATTATATTTCTGAACTATCTAAATTATTGAAAGCTTGCCCATATCTTCCACTGAATCCATTTCGGGAATATTCTAAATATGATGGAAATGTAACTATATTTTTAACTTTTACATTTTTTTATTAAAATAATAATACTATATATAAGTTCTAAAATAATTTTTTCAGACTCAACTAGGTGAAGCTACTCGAAAATATGGTATATTTATAACTATGTTAAATTTGGAACGTCGTAATTATCCCATGCAAGTATCAATTATAGCTACGGCCAAAGTTCATGATTTAATAGGATTGGTTTGCTGGAAATGTACTATTGAATATCCTGATTGTACTTTGAAGTATTATATATATATATATTTATTTTTTAATTTTATTAAAATATATTAAAATATCAATCTTTCTAATAAATTTTCAACAGGGATAGTGTTAATTGTTATGCTCTATACATAGCTGAAGATGATGGTGAAGTTGACTTTGATTTTCCATATTTAGATTCTCGAGAAACTGTTGCTAAATTTGGATTTGGATTCTTAGCTATTGTTGAACGGGACAGTAAATTAGCACCAGCTATTTCTAATCATTCACCAACATCACAGTAAGAAAAATTTTCTCTGAATTTTTCAAGTGTATAATACATATTTATTTTTTCTAGGGATGGAAATTCAGTTTTAAGTGATAATATAAGTACAAAAGGTAAATAAAATATTTATTAAAAAAAAATATTTTTTTTTAAAATCAAATTGTCTTTAATATTATGTTTAACTATGTTATAATTATTATTTTATTTAGCTCAACAACAATTAGAAGGAGAGTTAAATAAACTTCTCGCTATTGAAGCTCCTTTGTACCAACTATATAATGTGAATATACTAAATAAAGTTAGAGCAAAAATAGAAATTCATTTAGGCAAGTAAATTTTTATTTATTATTGTTGAATACTAATGTTCATATACTAATGATTTTTAAACAAATTTATGATCTAACATAAGATTATTTTATCATATTTTAAATATTTTATACTTTGAGACAAATTTGTTGGTAATATTCATATTTTTAAATAATTAATAACTACAAGTCATTCACTAGAGTATTTTTTTTGTTATATGTTGTTGTTTTCAAATTCAACAGATTTTTCTCAAGAATCTATTCAAATTGGGTCTCTTACCAGACTTTTTTTGTCATAATAAAATTTAATTTTATCATCTATACAATTTTGTAAAATATGTTTCAATTTCACTGTTGTCAGTTCAAACAACATTCTCATATGACTATATTTTGTATTTTATCTTTAGGAATATCGGGTCAGAAAATTGAATTAGATCCAGTTGTTAAGCAAAGATCTACTTCTAAATTTTCATGGACAAAACAAAAACCAGCTACATATGACATGGATTGCGTTGTAGCATGTGATCTTACAGAAACAAAATCCAACAATCGAGCTGTATTAAGACTAGTGTATGATAGCACCGCATTGAGTTCTAGTATTGGAGATAGTGCTCCAAGTCAACAAGGAACAGCTGTTTGGAGGAACTTTAAACATCATGATTTTGAAGCTGAGCAAAAAGTGGCTGAAGATATTGTACAAAAAATTAATAATATTTTAGAACTTAGATGTAGTGTAAGAAGACAGGAATATATTTCATTACGTGAACGCAAATCACATCGCCGAAGAAGTTTTCATCTTGGTCCTAGATAATATAATTTTCTAATGAAATATTTTAGTTGGGTGTCAATATGTCATGTATTATTTTTAAGAACTATTTTTACTTGTTTAAATTAAAAGACTATAAATTAATACTGAATGTATGTCTAAAAATGTGTTATTGTAATTAATTTTCTCATTATTTAAAAATATGTTTTACTTCTAAAATACTTGCATATAACCATTCTTTTAAAGTTAATTATAATTATTGTTAATTGATTATGAAATAATTGATGTTTAAAATCAATTTCTATTTTAGATGCATTCAATTTAAACTATACATCAATATATTATTAATGTATATTAACAAAATATAAATTAATACCTCTAAAAAATGTATACATTTCATATCCTGGATATTAATTTATAATACTAAAAGTGACATTTATCTACAAGCAGAAATGGAATCTAGTTCAGTCATAAATTACATCATGAATATTATTTTGGATAAACTGGAAACTGGTCGTAAACATAATATTTATAAAGTCCTATATCGGGGATGGCAAACCTTTTGAACACTGCGTGCCCAAAATTACCTTTTTTTTTAGAGCGTGCCATGAAAAAATATAAAAAATATTATATTTTGTTATATAATAATTTGATTGTAAAATTAATGTATTAATATAAAAAGGTTAATTTAGGTACATAATAATAATAATATATAATAAAAATAATAATAACTATAATATATAATAGTAAAAATTTTCGCGTGCCATGGATTTGCCATCCCTGTCCTATGTTAGGTCCTTAGTAGATAGTTTTATCATAGATTTCATATTTAATCTATGGTTTTACTGTTTAAAAAAGTTGTCTCTATTTTTAAATAAATTTTTATTAATCTTAAGTGGCTACCATCAACTGGATCCAGTTATACAGGGAGAGTGTTGCTCTTTTTCTCAATCTTTTTAGCAACACCACTCTTTATCAAGTTTGTATCTAAATATCACTCTACCTTACTCATAGGCAAACGGTATAAGTGGATTGCTTCATAAACTTCACAAGCTATGTACAATTATTATTAATTGTATTTACTAATGTTTATTACCATAGATTATAACTATTAACTATAAACAGCGGTGGATTAGTTAAAAATCTCGGGCCGGGAAATTACCCACCATCCAATAATAATAATTTTCCATAAAAGTCTCCTTTAATCATGGATTAAATGCTTGTAAAACTGTTTACATCAAGTTTACACTAGGTTTTTATTACAATCTTACAATGAAATCCAATATACTTAAATACATCATTTTTATAAAATAATTTTTAATCCAAGTACATCAGCCCAGTGTTAAAATACGACTACAGACTCACCGGGAATTTTCCCGGTATCCTGGTAGGCCAATCCGCCACTGAATACAGACTTGTTTTTATATTATTTGTGCTAAAATTAAGGTTTTTAATTTTACACATTAATTCTTGATTTATTTCTAATATTATATACAGTAAAAAAATAAATCGTTTTTAATCTTGTAAGGCCATATTTTTTTTAATAAAATAACAATTATTTATATTTATAATTTAATAAATTATTTATATTTTATGGATATTTTTTGATTTATTTCTGAATTTTTTTTTTAAACATGATAAAACTATTATTTAATAATTATCGGGCATCAAGAAATGTAACTCCATCACTTTAATGTGGTTAATTATTTAAAGTCTGTATATTACAAAAAAAATTTTAAGCCATTGGATCAATGTAAAATATAATTAGCAATGTTTCTATATCAAATTAGGTACTATTAACATAAAAATAAAATATAAATTGTACTAGGTAATGATTATTTTTGTCAGAAAAAAATTAGAGCCCTTTCGCCACTAATTAATTCCAATAAATGTGGGAAAAAGTTTTTGATGGATGGTAGCCGTAAATATAATTGACCCTATGTATATATAATTTAATCCAAATTATCTTCCAAGTAAATTTAATCAATAAAATTACATTGATATTGAAAATAAGTTGTTCCCAAAAAACTCCTTTCTTACAATTTCATTTTTCAATATTCTTACTTTTCCATTATTTTTCATCAAATTCATCGATTTTTTATGTACTTGATTTGAATTAAGTTGGTGACAAGCGAAGCATTGAGTAAAATTATACGGTATTCCTTCCTAGAGAGAGTATGGATCATTAATGGCTTCATAAACCAATTAACTGGTCTATGGTTTTCTTCATTCCATGACGTAAAAAAAAAATCCCGGAACGAGAGGTACTTACATCGCGTATGAAACGGATAATATTTAATAAATCATAAAAGTATTGTACCCTACTTTTTTTTATAGCTATCTGTCTTTTGTCTCCAATTGCGTGTCAACTGTTTTATCTTTGTGTAGATTTCGTAGTTAATAAAGAAAAATTAATTCCATTTGTCGGTTCGCGTTTATATTCGGCATTACGGCAGCACTCTAAGCCTTTTCTGTTCTCTTTTAAGTTCATTACTAATTATATTGTATTAATATTATAAATAATCACTGTACTATGTCACGAGATGAAAATTTCGACAGCAAAAGAAAGATAGAGAAAAATATGGACGCCATTACAATTAAATTAAAAAAGATGTTACTTTCGCGAAATGTCGTCTTACAGGTACACACGCACGAAATACACCATATTTACGTTTATTAAATATGTGAAATCAACAATCTTCCCCTATGACAAAACAGAAGTGCTAGTAAAATCCAGCAAATGCAGCTGAATAATTTGACATATTTTTTTTTAATTGGGCAATGTCCCGCTGCACTCATAAAGATATCATCGGCATGTTTGACCGTGGATTTCTAAAGTTGAGGGACTAGCAAAATCCAAAATTATACCATTTACATAACTTTAGCATAATGTACCGGTGTCAACTTGATGGACATCCGAAAATGTATAGATGAATTTCCCTACACAAACATGGATTTTCACGATTTTGCTGTATTTATAAATCATATTAATTGAATAATTTTTAAATGTTTTTACATAATTTATATTAGAATGGCAAATGATCATGAAATAATTTAAAATAATTTAAATTCAATAATAATATAATAATATAATATATTATATAATTATGTACTTACAACTTTTGTTTTCAGGATCAATGTATTCAGTTTATGATACGTAGTTTAAAAGATCCAAAACAGTTTGGTTTAGTCAGTACAACATTTTTAAATGCTGATATGGTTCAATATTTATGTGAACCACTACTTTCAATCAATACTACATTAATACAGTAGGTTCAATTAAGATATTTAATTTCATATAAATACTCAAACAATGAATTAAATCTATTATTGAGAATCTATTATTGAGAACATTTTATTTTAGAAATATATGTTTATGTGTTTGGATGTTATCTAAAAATAGAATATTTTACGAAAGAAACGATATATTATACACTTGTAATAGTGTGATGCGAACGCTTGTATTTTTAATCAGCACCAAAGATACATCTGTATCTAATTTGATTCAACTATTGGCAATACTTATTAAAAAGTATATTTTTTTTATGATTTATTTGTTTTATTTAAATATATATATGTAATGGGCAAAGCAGACTTTCGGGCAATGTTTACATTGCCCGGGCATTATGGTATTGCCCGATTATGATGGGCAATATAGGGAACATTTCAGGAACTTTATCAAATATAAATATATAGGTAACTAACCTATCGTCACATTAATCTTCATGCACTGGAACAATTAATTTTTCCGCATCAAATACTGTTATTACATCATATTTTTTCAAAAATGTATGGCCTCTTGATTTCAGTTTAAGTTATTTTACTTCAGATATTAATTTATTGTATTTAATTTTAGTTAAATATGTACTATTAACATTTTTTTTTTTTTAATGCAATTTCTAAATTTTTTAAATATTGCCCTTCCATTTCAATTAATTTAGTTTAAATACCGCACACATTTATACAGCGAACATTACACTAACACTATAACAATACAACACGACTTTCAACTGCGCTGTACTAAATAGTATTAACAACTCACATGTTATACGATTCAATGATTGCCGTAATAATTATTGTATGATATCTAAAAGGTAAAACCGATTTACTGATAATATAATCTTAAAACGACAATAATTGACGAGATAATATTGAGAGTTTTGTATATTGGTACCTCGCGACTCATGCTAGTGTAGGTATTTACACTAGTGTAAGTACTAACAGACAATGCTTTCATAATATTATAGTTAATAGTTTAAGTTACAATGTCTAATTTATTACGGGTAAAGTATACTTGGACCGGTGGAAGTATTATCCTGCCCGGTCAAAATAGTATTTTAATGTATTGCCCAAAAACAGCGGGCCAAGTATACATAGACCGGGCTATGTGAACATAGCCCAATAATCTACTTTGCCCGTAACATATATACTATATATAGGTATACAAAATATATATAAAACTATAGCGAACTTACATTTCAGAGGAGGAACAAATCTTCAAGAAATTTGTAATATGCCACAAATGTTGTCCATTATAAAAATAATTTTTATTAATTCTCAAGATTTACCAAGTTGCTGTGTTATTAATGCTATATCAATTTTATCGCATTTTTTATCATGTCCTTCTGTGGAATTAAGTAGTAAATTATACAACACGAGTATGTCCATTTCAGAGGAAATTTGTAAAAGTGTCACAGGAAAATGTATTATTGATTCTTACGTGGTTGACATTTCATCAAATCTTTCTTGTGGCTTATTAAGGTATTTATTTAAATTTAATCAATGCTATAACAATAAAGTAACTTAACGAGTTGGCGACAATGCCACAGACTCGAAGACTTACAGAATTAATGAACTTAACCACAAACATTTAAATTACGTATTTGAGATTAATATAAATATTTTTTAATACTGTTTTTAAAATATTATTATTATAAATTTGCTTTGTATAATTTTGATTTTGAATTAATTAAATTTAATTATAAATTTCAATATTAACCAAATGTTAAGAAAGGTATATTAGGGCATAGGTATATTATATGTTCAATATCAAAGTACATTACATTTATGTAAATTTCAACAATGGTAATTAATATTGAAATTACTATTCAAATTTATCATGTATATCAGTTTTGAATGTTTGTAACCAATTTAATAAAATATTATCTATATATGTATCTAATAAGGTAAACTAAAAAAAATAACTTATAGGTAGTACCATCTAAAATTAGTATTAAATGTGTTACTTATCATTATGGTTTGGGACTTGTTTCACACAAATTGTAGGAAATATGCAATTTAATTATTTTATAATAGCAATTCATTGTTTTTTTTTAATTTGATTTATAAAATTTAAATTGTAGAAACATTTTTTAGATTAGTAAATTTGTTGACATTAATAACTCTAATAAGTTATATATATGTCTAATACAATAATCCACTCTGTAAGATCGATATAATTTCTTTAGTGTTATTCTCCTACAATTAAAAGAATATTTAGTATTATAAAATATAATTGCACGTTTACCTTCAAAGTTGGACTGTACAATTAGAAATTTTCAGATATCTGAAATTAAATGCACAGCGATTGTTGGTGAGGATATTTTTATACATTGAAAACAATCTTCTATTGACCCATCATATTCACTTATTTTGACGTTATCGTGTATATTTAAAATTTACCAGGTCTTCCCGGGTAATCCCACGATACTTTCTTGTTCTCCAGATAGGTAGCATTTTGGACATATTGACCACTGGTTTTATTCATTATTTTCATTTTTTTCGATACAGTTTAAATTTTTGTTTTTATCGTTTTTACCTGTACTCCACGGCAATACTTTGCAAAGTAGTTTATTGCCATGATCAGTGTCAGTCTGACCCACCCGGATACCCGGAAATTGCAGGGGGCCCTGAGATTATTTATTCTTGAAATACAGGCCCAACCAGTGGTGGATTCACAGTTAGAGCCGGATTAAGGGGGGGGGCAAGCAGGCTATAATCCAGCCTTCTCCAAAAAAAGGGGCCCTAAAAAAATATTATGAGTTTGCAGCTTTTCTACAATTATAGATATACAGTTAAAAAAAATATTTTAACAATATTTATTAACATACCGACACTGGCCGCAGTGGCGCACACAGGATTTTTTTTTGGGGGAGGGTCAAGGTATAAATATAACACATTTTACAATTAACAAAATTATGCAAATCCTTAATATATTTTGACTTAAATAATAGCATTGATTATAGAATAGACTATTCTATAATCAATAATACTAGGTGTTCAATACTAGCTCTTCATATTTCAAACTTGTAAAATTTGTAAATTTTAACCTAGACATCGGAGAAAATTTCGGGAGGGTTACAACCCCTTACCCCCCCCCCCCCCTGAGTGAGGCACTGACTGGCTGTGACCATTTAATATATTATATTTTTTCTATTATTATATATATATATATATGGTTATAATTTAAAAATAAATAATGCTATACTCGGAAACCATAAAGTATTTACTTGGTTGCTAAGTTCGATGACGCGATGACTCGTTAAGTATTAAACGTCGTATGACAGTAAAAATATAAATAAATATTAATCTATAGATTAAATTTACTTTACATAAAACATAAAAATGAGTAAATATGCTCTAGATAACAATTAAACTGCAAATACCTATCTAATAATCATTTTGCCTAAAAAACCCGTAAATTATGAAAAAATATGCAGTTAAAATGTTTGTATTTCAGTACATTATACCATAAAACAAATTAATATCTTATTCAAATTATTCTATAAGAATATGGAAATCGAATAAGTCCCGAATCCTACTTATAATATATAGATACTTACAATAGCAGGAATTATATATTTTAGCACACTTATTAGTAATTCTATGTTAATAGGTAATATCACCATACCTATAACTATTTTTTATTTTGGATAAAATAATTTAAAAAAATAGAATAGCTACAATATTGTCACGTGTCTATTACTTGTAGGAACACAAATTATTTAATTTTTTACTACCTATTATATTATTTTAAATATACTTAAATATTATGTTCTGATTTAGACTTTATTCCACTATAGCAAGTCGAATATTACTAAACGAACATTTACAAAAACATAAAAAAGTAGCTAAATCGTTAAAAAATATTGCTTGGTTTATGATTAAACATATAATATTACCATTTGTTTTAGTGAGTAATTACCTATTACAAATTATTAAGAAATTTTATACGCCAATATATGAGTAGATACTAATAACATATGTATTTTATATTATTTTTATTAATAATTATTCAGAAAAACATGAATGTAAGTTTGCACTACAAGAGCTGTCGGAAAGGAATTAAAAGTTTGTTAAGTCCATTTAGAGAAAGTTTACCTCTAGATGTCCTCCAAAACATAGCTAATTATTATGCCGCATCAAAGATTATCAGCATTTTATTTGAATCAATTGAATATAAGTAATTATTTTTCTTTATATAATGTATGCATTTATTTAGCATATACGTTTATATATTAAAAGTCATGTGTATTAACTATTAAAAATGCTTTTATACTTTTTATATTGATTGAATTTTATAATTATTTTTAAAGCCAGTTGTATTTTTTTTTCTACAGACAAATTGGAATTTTATCTGAAGAGTTGTTATTTGAAATGATGTTCCATCTTTCATCAGCATATCTTAAAATCGATTCTCATTGGCCCGGTGGTATAGATATGTTTCGGAATCAATTGGTTTGGAGCTTTAAAGATTTTCCTAGAACATCAAAAGATATTTGTTTAATTTTAACAAATAGTAAAAATACTGATATAAAACAATCTATAATCATTTTCATATATTTCTATCTTTTAACTTATTCCAAGTAAGTTGTGTATATTAAAGCATTACATTTTTTTATTTTATAAAAGTATTTTACTAGTTCTAAATTATAGCTTTTCCCTAAAGTTTTGTAAATTTTTAACTGTATAATATTTGTGGTTTTTCGTAAAACATTTTTACTAGTATGGTAAGAAGAAAAGGTTAATCTAAAAGTTTTATGAAATTACTTAATTAAAAAAATATAGTTAACTTTTGAAAAACTTTATAAACACTTGTGATTTAAAATAACTTAAAATTCATTACTTAGACATTTGTATAATACATTTAATAATCTGTGCATATATTAACCCAACTTCTTATTTACTTTAATACGAAATGCTACACGTTTGACAATTTAACCACTGTGTGCCATGATTATGTATAATATATTCTTAATATATTATAGGATCCATCGGGATTAGTTACCTAACTTGGTGTATTTATTTCATACCACAATATTTTTTGTTTGTATTATTATATAAGCCAATAACATAATTAGGTACCTATTTTTGTAGAGTGTACTTAATATTTCAAGCGTTTCTGTGCAGCAGCGTAGTTGGAACTCAATGAAGGGGAAGCGATTTAAAAATAGCATGGTTATAAATACCATATTATTTTATTAACTATAAGCTATAGGCTTTAACAATGATTAAAACATCACCAATAAAAATTTCCAAGGAGGTGATCTATTCATTCTCCCCTAGGCCACTGTCTGTGACAGTTTTCCCGAGCACCAAGCAAAACTTCATGGTTGCGCGTATTTCACGAAAATCAGCTATCACGTACATGACAAACACATAAGAAAATCGTCTTAAAAAATTAAAAACTGCATGAAACGGAGCAATAGTTCAGTTTCCTTTATACTTGTCTTCGTATATAATGTACCTACATTTATAATTTACCATGAATTATATTTATTACTTTTTTTTTTTTAAATACCGGTGTATTTTACTGCCTTAACTATGTTGAAAAATATATTATTTATTAACTTATCTGTAACTTATCTATATAATATATGATTTCAGCATTGAAAATGAATCAATATATCTGGAACCTATATGCGTTTACTTATGTTTAATTCAGAATGAAATACCTACTCCTGTTATAAAAGCAGTTCTTTTTATTATTTCTGTAAATATTTATCAATGTAGCATTTAATTGTGTGTTTTTTTTAAAATTAAAATGGTTTTTAGATTTCTTTTGTTTCCCATAATGCTGTAAATGCAGTATCTGGGTTAACTATTGCTACAAAAAAATTAGTTGCACTTATTAACACTCAAATGTTTGATTTGATTTTTACCTATCATCCAGCTATTTTATATTTTTTATTCGCTACAAGTATAATACCAGACAAAATCCAATCGCAATTAGTAAGCATAAATCATAAAATTTTGAATAATGCAATTTAATTTAATTTAATTTATAATTCTATTAGATTAAACAATGGATTCTGAATTTAGATGATATTAGTTTTATTGAATTGGAAAAATTTTGCTTGAAAAATGACAAAGCAAAATTATGTTTATTGGTAAATTGATAATAACAATACTTTTAACAATATAAATAATTAAGTTTCATTATTTTTGTTAGAACGTGCTTATAAATGATACAACTATCGATAGTAATAAATTGCATCTAGGATTCGACGTTATTAAAAAAATTATAGCTATTGAAAATAATTTGAATGAACATAAAACATTATTAATTATTTGGGAAATTTTACCAATAAATTTAGGTTTATTCTGTTGTACTGAAAATCCTAAAGCAATAGGAGGTAAACCAATATTTTTTTTATATAATGATTTTTGTTTAATAACTCTTAACTAAATGGAAATTTTTAATTTAGCAACAAATTTAAAGTTATTATTAAATTTAACCGAATCGTGCTCTTTCGATGGGCTCAATATTTGCATAAATGAACACCGAAATTTAGTTTATACCATGTCTTCAATTGTAAAAAGTTATCAATCTAATTTTCCTGAACGGTATTCTCTACTATCATCTCTCCTGCAGCATATATTAACTCTGATTCAGTTATCTAATAATGATGGTAAGTAATTCTAATTGCAAGTCATGTAAATAAATAATAATTAATGATATCAATTTATTTTTAGTTGTAAATACAATTAAAAAACATAATGACTTTCTATGTGTACTCCAAAAGCTATGTTTATCTGAAAATAATGAAGTTTGTTTTCTTACGTATAATACGATAATAAAATTATGCCAAATTGAAAAAGAAGGAATTAAAAATGAATACACTATTTTAGTACGTCTATTACTAGTCATTTGAAATAGATTTTAAGTGTATCTCAAGTGGAATCAGTGGCGTAGCTAGGATTTTCTGAAGGGGGGTGTTAATTAAAATTATTAAATATTATATATAATACGAAAAAATTAAAACTTTTATTTTAATTAATTTATATGTATACATAATGCCTGTAGTAGAGATGTAATGTATATTCGAATTCGGATAGCTTTACCATAAATCATTCGAATATTTGACTATTCGAATATCAGTATTCGATGCTACAATACCTATTATTATTAAACGTTTTGTGTTGCACGAAAACGTAAACGAATAATTTTCGTCACGTATTGTCGCAATCGCGATAATGTTAACCTGTGTATATGTAATTAGTATTGTGCATTATTTTATATTTCATATTGTATTATCGATTTACCTATATTCCAATAATAATGTAATATATGATACGGCTCAAGGGGGTGTCATATCTACCAAACACTCCCCTTGTATACGCCACTGAGTGGAATAAATAAATATTTTGACATGTTACGAGTAAAATGATAATAAGTAAAATGATGATAAGTTAAATTTTTTTTCTAGAATTCGATGACAATAAATTGCAACTACATTTTAGACGCAATGTCTAGGAAGTGTCAAAATTGTATAATATCGTCTATTACATTATTTCAAATTATAATACACTACTATGAAAAATGTATTAATGATACAGTTGAATTTAATGATATACTAACTGTAGAATGTTTTAGATCTGTTTTTATACAACTAAAAACATTAATATCTCAAGTAAGATGTATTGTAAATTAATAACAATTTACGATTTTGTTTTGCCAATATTTTATCATCAATATTTCATAAATGAATTCGTTTCTCCACATAGGGACTGGATTGGGTATCAGATCATGCTTGGGAGTGCATTACTATAATTTTATCAACATCACTTTTAAAAGATCTAAAGAATATACCAGATCTTCAGTATGAATTAGCTACCGATCCTTGGCTCAATTTTTTACTCACAAATTATAAATTCTATAACAAAAAATGTTTGAAGTTTTTACATTTTTGGTTTGATAATTTTGTATTGAGTTAAGTATTGAATCATAATACATTTTGTAAAAATATAATTTAAAATTTGAAAATTATTCTGAAATAAGTATAGTGGATTCCATTTAATATGGACATATCGGGATCAGCACCATTTAAATATATTAAATAGTTTATCCCATAAAACTAAAACAAATATAAATAAACATATGAGATTTTAATTAAAATAGGACAAAAGGCCGAGTGGTATAAACGGTGAGGTGAGATACAGTGATTGGTGGATGATATTGCTGTACTGGTTTTTTAAACTTAAAACTAATGTATCATTGCTTTCGGAAATAGATTCCTAGCGAAAGTGGTCGTGTGAATGAGCTTATATCTCTAAAGATAACTAATGTAGTTAAAGAACCAACATTTTTAATAAGGTGGGTTGAATTTTAAACTTTCGCAAAAAAAAAAAAGAGAATTTAAAATTTAGGAAAATAGAAGATCTTTAAAAAAAAAATAAAAATAAAAAAAATAATGTAAATGATTATAAACAGTATAAATTTCAATAAAATATTTCAAAACTACGAAGTGCCTTTAAAATGTAATGTAAGTATTTAATACATTTTATCGAGTAGCTAAGATTAATTATTTAATCTTGATTAAATTTATCTTTATTAATCTAAAATTAATATTAATTGGATAGCAATTAAATAATAAATATTGCTTAATGGTTATTATGCTTTTATTTGCGGTGATTACATTAAGACATTAACTGGAGTTCACTATATTTAAAGAAAAGTTATGTTTTTATTCATATTAATGTCAGTCCCATTATAATTATAATATTTTTTCTTGTGTTTTTTTAATTGACGACCATAGCTGTTTGCGTAATACTCTCTGAAAATTTACTTAAACTAAGTATATTAATACGAACATACCTATAAACTTAATACTTGGAATTTGTAGATTATAATACCTTGGTAAGGGGGTAAATTCTTCCTACTCGTTTTTCCAGTTCCAAGGTTTCGGAATTATTTTTCATTTTGTGATTTATAAATTGTAAGTTTTAATTTAAAAAATTATATATGTATCATAATAATTTATTAAATTAGAAATAGAATAAGTAAAAAAAATATTTCATATCACTTGTTTCCAAAATTTAAAAGCCTATTATAGATAGGAATGTATTGTTTAATTATATTTACTATGGAAATTGTAGTAATAATATAAAAAACATGGGTAATTTGGACCTACTGACTACTTAAAGTTAAATAAAAGAATTGTTTATAAGATCAGGGATATTTATAATCGACCAAACAAATAACTAATAATCTTAACAAAAAAACGTTTATTTTATTATAATTAAGTAACAATTACACTCATGATTCATGGCATTTAATTTAAATATGTATTTTTTATAGCTACGGAAGAAAGTTTCTCAATATGTGGAAAAGAACCTTTATGTCCTAGTATTTTTGATAAAACTATAATTCATATTTTATCAACAATAGTTAATCAAACTTATAAAAGCAGTGAATTGGTAATGGAAGCAAAAAGTATTATAAATCTGGTTAGTGCTTATTTTTATATAATATACATTTAAATCATATGCCAAACCATCATTGCTATTCTTGTATATTATGTTTATATTCCAGTCACATATATCTTTGTTTGAATCTATAAATAATAACAACATTGTTGATTTTAAAGTATATTATATGTCTTTTGTTATGTGACAGATTTTAAAAAGTAAATTTGTAATACCTAATGGACTAGAATTTCAAATACAACATTTTTTAAATCAGCAACAATAAGTGTTTGGTGTCATGATTGTTATTTGATATTCGAAGTGTAACTTGAACCAATAAATTTAAATATATGTATATTTTTAACTGTATCCTTAAGGATATAATTTTACTTTATACTATTTTGTAAACGTTTTAATGTAAATCTTAATTATAATTATAATCATACACTTTTTTGTTTTTACATTTTTTATTTATATAATAATTACACAGGTAAATTTATGTATATTTTTTTTGCAAATGTAATTAAATAATATGTTTTTCTTATAGATCTTCAATTTTTTTAAAATTTGTATAATGTATCAATTTTTTCTGACTTTTAAATCTACAATTAATTGTTTAATAATATTTTTATAACTTCCAAAAATTAAAAAATTAAAAAAATTGTTCATAATATTAATTTTAATATTATATATTAATTTTATATTATACTTATAAACCTTTATGTATAAAATAGTATGTAAAATATTATCTATATATATATATATATATATATATATATATATCTATACATATATTTTATAAATATTAAAACTCAATGAACAAAAATACTAAACAAATGTTATTTAAAAACACGAATGTTCATTATAATATTTTAAAATAATATAAAAAATATTTTATTTCACATTTCACAAGAAAAAACAATTTTATATTCTACAAAACTTGATTGTATTTTACCACACACTTCAATAGTTCAATAGTAATAACCAGAAAATATAATTTGTCTTGATACTAAATTTGGTAGTGTGTTATAATCTGTACAAATTATAATTAATTTTGTATTTAATAATCTGTTTGATATTGAATTGTTTAAAATTCAAATATGCCGCTTAAATGCTCACTATCAGTCATGCATGTGCATTATCAATTTTAAAAAAAGTCGGCGCATCACGGTTAATAAACATGCATGGGCAGGATTATTGGTGCATTCTTGTATTTAAACCGTGGAATATCAATTGCTATAAATTATTTATACATATCAATATTAATATTAATATTAATAATTATTCATCATATTTATTTGTATAATTTATCTATTTATCTTTATATTATTATTTAGCATATCTTAATTCGTGATTTGTAAACATAATATGGTTAACATATTCTGTGATATCATTTTTATTTCTTTATCACTTCGAGTATATTTTAACGGAAATCAACAATGAAGCTTACTGTTTAAATTTTTTTATTAATTTAATATAATATTATTATATTCTTTCACTTTTTATCTCCATAATTTTAATTAACACCATAGTTGATGTCTCACTTAGTGAATATCTTACTAACATATTACTTATTAATTTTTTTGTCTTCAAAATATAATACGGTTAGCTTATCTGAAATTTGAACATTTTATATCCTTTAAATATTAAAATGTGCTTAATTCCTTAATATTATGTTATTGATACTTATATAACTATTTTTATTTTGGTTTCAATTTTTTATAAATGTTGATTATTTATTGAATGTGACAAGTAAAGTTTTTTAAAATACTATATTACAGCAGAGATTATCTTTTTAAAATTATTCATTACGTAAGTAAGTATATATCCTTATAATTTTATTTGAGTTCTTGATGATGTTCTTATATAGTTATAAACTACTGATATATTTATTTTAATAAAAAAAAAAATCAAATGAACCTAGATTTAAAAATTACATTATGTTGGCCTTAACATTTCTGAAAGTCTTATAAAACTTCTACATATAAGGTTTATATTATTAATATGAGCTAAACACAATAATAGAAAATACTTCTTTATATACTTTTAATTTGATAAAAATATAGAACATTTAAATTAAGTAATTAAGTTCTATATTATGAACAACTACTCTAATTTTTGTTCTTTTTTTCTTCTTCTTTGCATTTCTCCAAATTATTTGGCATCAGCTATCTTTGTCTTAAATCTCCATTTATCTGGATTTTTTATATCTCCTACGTACATATCAACAGCTTTCATATAATTCTCAATTGTATTCAACCATCCTTTTTTTAGTTTTCTTTTTCCTCTTTTCCCTTCAACCTTCATTTTCATTTTTTCATTTATGTTCAACAGTATAATTCTAGTTTTATTTTTATTTTTATGAGCATCGTATCCTTATTGATTTATTTTACAAATTAGAATCTTCAAAAGATGGAATGTATAATATCACAATCGCCAAATAATCATTTAAGGAATTTTATGGTAGCTGCTGAGCAATATTTACTAAACCATGATGAATCATCTTTAAATACAATTCTATATATATTACAGGTATGTAAAAATAATTTCAAATTTATGTTTCTTGTCCTTCATGTATTGGATTACCAAGATAATGTTGTATTTGTATTTATAAATAAATAATTTTTATTTTTTGCATTTGAATATTATTAGATCCTTGGACAACCATCTAATTTATTTGATTTTAATTCTAAAAGCAAAGTTATACTAGAGTTTTATGTTAATTTATGTGAACTGATGAACAACACTAATAATGATTCTGATCTTATGTGGGTCGCTGTTAATGTATTATACTCAATTTCTAAGCAAGGATATTTTGATACTTCTTTACCAAACAATTATAAATTTGCATTAATACTAACAAAACTTTTGAAAGAAAATTTATCATTGGATAGAAAAATCAAAATATTAAAATTACTTCAGGTAAATTAAAATTAATTTGATTTTTTAATAAATACTAAGTACAAATAAGTAAATCTTATGAATTTTTAGGAGTTGACTTATGGAGTAAAATTACAATGCCAAGAAGGTTATTTATCTGAATTAATCATATTATTAGTGAAATGGATATCAAGTGAAGACAAAGATTTAACATCCTTATCTCTAGGAGTTTTAGTGAATGTGTTTAGTAAAAACAAATTTGCTATGTTTATTCTTTTAAAAAGTACAGATTCTAAATCTTTTATGAGGTTGCTTTTGAGAATACAATCAGATAATACATTTACTAAAGTTCAAGTGTATAAACTCCTGCTAGTATTAGAGCATGTATCAGGTCAGATACCTCATATTGATGTAAACAATTTAATTGACCTAATATTCATTGTTTTGGAAGAAGGATTGAATCAAAATAACATTTTTGCTCTTCGTCACACAATAGACTTTTTTATTGATATTAGTGAACATTTGCGATGGAAAAATCATATTTACGAATATTCCAAGTATGTTATTAATTATTATTTTTGTATAGGATGAGCTACCACTATAATCCAATGTAAATGTTAATTTTTTTAAATTTATTTGTTTTGATATTAGAAGGTTAGGTTACATTAAACATTTCTAGTAAAAAAAAAATAAAAAAAAATATCCTCCCATTTACTGACTAGGAAATAGATTTTAACATTTTAATTTTTATAAAGTTACAAGATAGCCATTATTTGCTATAAGTTGTTTTTACAATTTCAAAGCATCACAATTGGAAATTGAATTATTTCAAAAATGATTGCTAATTTGAGTTAATTTGAGTAGATAAGTGATAATTGTATACTGTAGCTTTATTGGTAGTTTAATGAATGAATATAAATAAAATAATTTTTTCAACAACAATATTAGTCAACATTTTTCAATCATTATTTATCCATAGTGAAACTGTTTTAAGATCTTATAAGTAAAAAATTAAGCTTAAGATATCAAAATTCAAATTTGGCTCAAAGTATTTAATATACCCCCTTTTATTAAACTGCGGTAAAAGAAATTTTTTTAACATTTTGGAATATATTTACATTGAGATATTGCAGTGAGCCACCTGATATTTATATGTGTATTATTATTTATTAAAATATTTCAAATATATCAAATTTTACAGCTATAAATCAAAAATAATTAGTATAATGGAAACTTTGAACAATTTCAAACATATTGAGAAGACATGTAACAGTCAAAATAATTATGATATTACCCTAAGAAGCATCGGCTTAATTTTGCAGTTTATTCATCATACTATTAAATTAAGAATTGAAGATTTTATCATAATATATCCTAATATTATAATGAATGTTTTGCATTGGGCTCAGTTTTTAGACATTCATGAACAAGCATTATCAATTTTACAAACTATAATTAAAAATGTACGAATTAATAATTATTACTTGGATCAGGATCTTCAAAATGATATTTTTGAAAAACTTGCAGAGAGTTTAAATGTAAGTACATTATATAAGTTTGAAGTATTCTTAACTATGCTTAACATAGAAATTCTGAAATATAATAAATCTTCAGTCATATAATTTATATGTATTAAACATTGATTTGAACATATGTTCAAGTTAAATGTATTGTACGTGATTTATAATATTGCATATTAACATATTTAAAAATATTCTTACAAATAATAAAAATTGGCTGTAATTATATAGTTATTAAGAATTTATTTAGTCACCAACATATTGGATTTTTATTCAGAATAGATTTATCATAATATATTTTATAACAAACATGAATAATAGGCTTATTTACTTACATTACTAAATAAAGGTACATTTTTAAGTTATATTCCAGTTATTTATCAACAGTTGTAAGAATATTGAAATTATAATTTTACTACATAATTAGTTTTTATATTATAAATTTTATATTATTTTAGATATTGCTGAATTTATTAATAGAACCCAATCATAATAGTGACAATGTTCCTAGTATTAAATCCTGGAATCAATGTGCAATTAGTTTCAGGCTTCTTCAAGAAATGTTAAATATGCAAAATTTATATGAACAAATTGAAGAAAAACTTTCAAATTCTGTAAGAAATATGTGTATTATTTTGTATAACAAATAAATATTATAATTTTATATTTTTCAGTTCCTTCAGTCTATATTCCATTCTTTGTTATCGGTCAATATTAAAGATATAAAAAATTTACAAAATATTACATTTGTATACATTGAAGCTCTTTACTTTTTATCTGATTTAGTTGCTAAAAATCCTAAGTGGATGTCTTTATATTCTGAAATTTTGAATCAGAAACATGTTTATTGTGTATTAGCTTTTATTATATACAACGGCCCAAAAAATATGAAACAAAAAGTATTAGATCTCATAACTAAATTTTCTCAACAAAGGTAAATAATTATTTTTAATGAATTAATTTTAATTCTAATTAAATTTTGTATTATAAATTAGTATTTTAATGTTATCTGACTGCTTGGAAGAAATTGAACAATTGTCGTCAACAAAAGTAAAAAATTCAATTGATTTTGACATAAAACCACTATGTTCATTTGTTCAAGAAGAACAATTACAAACATTTATTGATCAATTAGAAAATATGTTCAGTTCTAATGACGTAATTAATTATAAAAATTATAAATATTGTTTTTGAGGCATATAATATTAATTTTTCAATATTAATTAATTAAAAATTTTTAGATACTTGATATTAAGACCTGTAATGTCATTAAATTATATCAAAGTAAAATAAATTTATTAAAACAAACAGAAAATTGGTTAAAAAAAAGTTTAGACAATTGTTCTGAAGAAATGACTCAGTTAAATTATAAAATAATTCAATTGAATAATGAATCCATGGTATTAAATAATATGTTATTAGAAAATCATCAAACAATTGATGAGCTTACAATGGAAAACATTAAGCTAAAACAAAAGTTAAATAATATTACAGAACAATTTTCTACAACTAGCAATGACTTTGCAAAAGTAATATAATTTTTTAGAAAACTATAACTAACAGAACTATTTTTATTTAATATATATTTTATTTATAATCAGTTATCTAGAAATTATGAAACAAAAAGACAAATTGTGCAAGATTTGAATTTGAATATAAACAACTTAAATAAACAATTAGAAGAACTAAATATAGCAAGCAATCAGATGAAATCGAGTTTACTAGAGCAATTACAAAATGAGAAAACAGGTAAATTTGTAAAAAAAAATGTATTAACTTGGTTTTTATTATAAATGTTTTGTTTGATTGTACATTAGCTTAATAATATCCATGTTTTAAAAATCAATATTTATTTTATGTATTTTAGAAAACAAAATACAAGTTTCAAAATTAGAACAACAATTAATAGATAAACAAAATATAATAAGTGAAAAATCTGAGGTAAATCTTTATTATTTTTGTATTCATAAGGTTATAAACAATAATAATATCTATAAATTGTATATAATGTTCTTGAATATAAATCATAATAATAATTAAGATTTAATTTTTTTTTTTAATTCAATCTAATTTTCAAATCAACCTTAAGATGGATTTAAAGAATAAGCTTTTTTTCTAATACATAGAAATCACTAATTGAACAAACTGGTTTTATAATGGATTATGCTCATTGAATTTACAAAAAGTAAAAATGTATATAAAATGTAATTAAAGTAGCATAACATTTTTTTCAGTTTTCTGATTTAATGAATATTCATCAATATTACAAATTATAATTAAAATATAAGATATTTATAAACTTATTACCATCATATAGTAAAGTTATAAAAATGGTCTTCCTCATCTTGGGGCTCCTAAAAGAAGCTTGGCCTTTATTTGCTTCCAAATAATATCTGGCCTAATGGGTTTAAATGTATAGGGAAATTTTTTTGTGATTAACTTTTGATAAGATTTTTTTACCTCTTATTTTGACCATTGTTATTATAGACTACTAATTCATTATATTTTTTTAATAGGAAATTGATAGCAAAACGTCTTTCATTAGAAACCTTGAAAAAAATATTAATGAAAAAGATAAAGATATTCTTGACTTACGCAAACAACTTCATGAACAACATAAAGTACATGAAATGATTAGTCAAATGTTAGCAGCTACATCAAGTAAACCTCAATTATAAAATAATAATTTCATTTTTGACTGATTACATATTTTTAAGTTGCATAACAAATTTACATTTTTATTACAAATGTATTTATATTGGTACAATTAGAAATTATATTTAGTTTTCTTCATCCAATCACCAATCATGTATTTTTTTTACTTATTTTACGTAATTATAAGTGTTTATAACCGTCCATTTTTTGCAATATGTAATGTTTTTTTGTGAATTTGTTAGTTTAAGAATTGTACTCATTTTTTAGAATATATTAATTATTACTCCTTATATACTCTTTATTATTACGGCTTTATAGTTATACTAACTTTCATTTCAATTCATTTATTTGTCTACATTTTAGATCAATATTGTAGTGTTAATTTTATTGTAGACTCGTTATAAGTAGGGAACGGATTTATATGTAAATACATATTTTTATTAAAACGAGATATTTAAAATTTGATAAGAAATGTTCATGATTTAAATCATTCCTATTAATATGATGATACTTTTATTTTACATATTTTTACATATTTTGGTATAATTACATATTTTTACATATTTCACTAATTTGTAAATATTT